AAAATGAGTTAATTTTTACTGCTTCACTTGACAATCTTAAATGAAATTAGCATTTTTGTTTTTTACCACAATGAAGAACACAATGAAGAATATGCTAGTACAGTTTGGTGCCACTGCTTTGATTCATGTTAAAGGGCCAGCGGTTTTACCCACCATTGCTTTAGCACCATCAGTGCCAAGGTCAACAAAGTGAAAATGGCAAATAATACCTTGGGATTATGAAAATAATTTTGACCTCTCAGACTTCCTGAAAGGGTCTCAGGGAGCCTCAGGGGGTCCACAGATAATATTTGAGAATTTCTTGTCTAGGATATCATGATATACCTAGATTACCATGTTCAGCTTTCTAACCAGTCTTCCTGCCTTCAGCCTCCCTCCTAATTCACATTGTTTGGCACTACTAGATATAGCTTCCTGCTTTCAACATATCCTACCCAGAAATTTTCAGTGATTTCCCCACTGAATAAAGTTCAAATTCCTTAGCATCACATTGGAAGAACTCTACAATCTGTCCTCACCCAACTTTTTCAGCTTTACCACCTACCACCACCTCCAATTAAGTCAGGCTGGTCTGTTTAAGGTCTCCTAAAACACAATTTACACATCTCACAACTTTGCTTAAACTATCTCCCATCATATCAAATATCATTTTCTGTCATCAAATCCCAAATCTTATTCAACCTGTAAGGCCCAGCTCAACACCCACATACTTTATGGTGTTTTTACTAATCATTTTGATTTATAGTGCTTTCTTCCTTCCTGGAAATATTACAGCAATTATTATCCTCAAACTATCATATACTATTTTTGATAATTCAACTCTATGTGATTTCCTTAATTCCCGAACCAGATTTCAAGTTCCTGGAGTAAAGAAACTCTATGCTAAACTTTGAATCTTCTACAGTGCGTAGGGCAATGCAATGAACACACTGGAAACATCATTTTTAAAAAATAAAATCAATAAATGAATTCCCTTCCGAAAGGCAAGAGAGTTATATGAGTGATTCACATGGTCCATGAACTACTGATGGGTCCCTAAAAGTCTTCCAGGTGGACAGTAGATTGATTTCTTCAAGTTATTAATGTTTTTAAGGGAAATAATTATGCTATTTAATCAAAATCACTCCATTAGCACTCATGAAAAGGAATTCTCTCCTTCTCAATTCTGATGAGGATTTTTGCAGTGTTAATCAAGAAAATGTAGACTAAATGACTCATAGGACCCTGCTGAAGTGGTTTAAAAAGGGAAAGATGGCAATGAGTGCTCTAATTCAGCACAGAGACTCCATTGTGGAATCAACTCTATCTGTAACATTTTTATTTCCTTAAAAGAAGATATAAAGTAGATATGATAAAAAATTTTTGTTAATCTGACAGACAGGTGCAAAATAGAATGCTATTCTTTGCCTTTTCTGTATATTTCATATGACTATGTTATCTTGGTACATTTCTGTATGCTTATTTTTAAAATAAGGAAAAACACATTGTGTAGCACTCTGAAGCATATATGGTACATTAATATACACATATGTACTATTTGATTGATGCTCAATACTGTCCAATTTTTACTCACCAATGCATCATCTTGCAATGAGGCAAAAAAGAAGCCATAGAGCAAGTTAATTTGCTCCTTATGATCAATGAAGTCAAACATTGCAACCAGCCAACGATAAAAAAGTACCTATCAAAGAGACAAAATACTTATCTTTGAAGAACTATAACCGGTACAGAAGAGTTTAATTCACCCTCCCTGCTCCCCAGGCTGTTTTAGAAGCTTCCAGCACAAAGTAGAATGACAGATTTTACTTCTCAGTAAAAATTTCTGTTTTAACGTAGTCCTTGCATCAAGATGTACTATTCCAGCCGGGCGCGGTGGCTCAAGCCTGTAATCCCAGCACTTTGGGAGGCCGAGGCGGGTGGATCACGAGGTCAAGAGATCGAGACCATCCTGGTCAACATGGTGAAACCCCGTCTCTACTA